CATTACTCACTCTTCCCTCATCGCTGTGAAAGCTGGCTATACACTGTTGCACCACCCAAAGCTAGTAATATGCCCATGGAATCTTTGATGGTGAGGACTCGGCCTTCGCTCATGAAACCGTAGGTGAGGATTATGATTGTTTTGACACTGGACGAAAAGATTAGTACATGATGTTTTGAGGTAGGATAAGAGGAAAGGTGTTCGTACTTGGAAGCAACATTGAATGTCAATGCTGACATTCTTCCAATAATCAAGAATTGACTCAAATTCAGCAACGCAGCCGCCAAACCACTCAAACCCAGTGCAACAAGTGTATCCCTCGGTATAACCGACACATCTGGTTTGGTATCGAAGAACGGTGCCAAAAACGCCAGAATCAAAACGGATATCGGGGCCTGATTGAGTAAAAGTTGAGGAGAAGAGACTTTGAAATCGGCGAGTTTCTTGCCGATCCAGACTTGGTAGAATGCAGTAACTACGAATGCAGCAATAGCGATGGATGCGCCAAATGTGGTGGTTCCAGAGGATCCGGTATTAGTTAGACCTACACCTACGCAGACGCTGGCGAGGGCGAGGATGGTTTGTGCAGAGACGGCTTTGGAGAGAAAGATGTATTGGAGAAGGGCGACGCAGGGTGTGGTCATTATTTTAGCGAGCCTGGTTTGAAGAGGAGAATTAGTGGGATATTGGGACGAAGGAGTTAGGGTGAGTGACTGACTGGTAGAAGCCCACAGAGTTGAATGCTAAACTTAAGTTGCCAAGTATGAGAAAACCGGCGAAGAAACAGCATAATGGAAGCATTTGGAGAAATGGCAATCGTATGGGGACAAAAAGGTTGAAGGGAGAACGACTAGCTATCCATAATACAATGGTTGTGCATGTAAAATGCCACATCGCAAAGGATATTTGCATGTTTCGCAGCTGGGTGTCTTTGAATATCCTACGTTATCGTTAGATCTCATTTTCTGGGATCAAGGATAGAGTTTCCACAAACCATTTATTGAGAAAAACAAGAAGTACTGTACTGATGATATTCAGACCAATGCAAGCAATATCGACAATCTTACTCGCCAGACCCTTCTTTCTTTTCCCCTCGTTGCCCTCATATCTATCATTGTGTGTCTCTTCCCCAATCATCGGTTTCGACTCCGCCTGTTCCACATCTTTCTCCAAAGGGTCCATGTCGGCGGCCATTGCTGGAATTGACGAATTGCGATTGAATGAAGAATGACAACCACAAGCCTTATCGTGATAAGCTCAAGTGAAGGTAAACGTCCGAGTATATATATTGCAATTGTAAGTCAATCGAGTCGGATTGTAGTTGGTGATGGCTCAGCGTGCGGCAAGCTAGAATTCACCGACAGGCGCTATGTGATATGGACATGAACAAAGCGGTTAGGTTGGCGGGACGAGTTAAAAATGAGAAGCCATGAAACGTCGAATGTGGAGGAAGATGGTGTTATCATTGAAGTGTTATGAGTCGGGGCAAAAGAATGTAAGTACTTGAACCATGAGATTATCGCATACCGGGTGATGAGCGGGATATTTTAGCATTGCTCAGCCTCGTCCGTCTAACAGATTTCCTCGCCTCCTTTTTGACACATTTCTTACCTTGATATGATTGGTGGATCTGCAAGATGTGCATTGCATCAAAGCCAAACGAATCTGGGGTTGGTTGAGAGCCTTGGGAGCTTCGATGTAAGGGGCAGAAAGGAAGGATATGTAAGATGTGCTATATATGAGCAGGTGGAGGCGAACCAGTTGTTTGAACTGCTTCCTTTCTGCTTTTCTCATCAACACCCTGGGCATCGTGTATGTAGTGTATGTAGTGTGTGTAGTGTTGTAGTGTGTGTCGTGTGTGTCGTGTGTGTAGTGTATGTCATGTATGTAATGTAATTGATGATTGAATATCGTAGTATAAATCACAATAAAGGACATATACCGTTGCATCCAAATGTGTTGGTAAATCTGATACATACCTACTCCGTACTCCGTACAGACTTCCACGGTAAGCTTCCTTTGGTCGTTGAATTTCTTCAGGTAAACTTTTCAACCCCTTGTGCGCATCAAAGCATGAAAGTCACTAGTCCCTAAACTCCTAAAGCGTCCCTTTTACTGTACACATTGGGCGGTGACATTACCCCATTCGCGTCCAATAACTTATATAAATGTTACCCTGAAATTTGCTGGCAAGATACAATTCACGAATTCACCAATTCACCCAATTCACCCATTTCACCCATTTCATCCAATTTATCTGTTCTTGATCTTCTGAAATTGGATTGATATCTCCATCTTCTTCTCTGGTGACTTTCTCAAAAATCCATTCATTCAATTCTAATTTCAATAGACGGGCTCGGTTCAACAATTGACTATCGCGGCCGCTCCTAATTTCCACATACAGTCGAGCACATCAACTCTTCAAAAACCCGATAATCCACAACAACAACTTAATTCAACTCTTGCAGATATTCCGCATATTCAGAAACTTTGATAATCCATTTGTCAATTCATCTCCACTTCATTCATCATGGGTCTCGTCAAAAATCTCCTGTATTTTTCTATTCATCCAAATCAGTTGAGAGCAATCTTACAATGGTATGTATTCTCAATACGTACATCTCCTCAACTGCCATCACTGATACATGAGCCAGGAAGCTATGGCACGACCCAGTCCATATCAGAGATCCATCCAAGGAACCTCAATCCCTCAAAGATTGCTTCAAGTACCTCGAAATGACCAGTCGAAGTTTTAGTTCAGTTATCCAAGAATTGAACCCCGAATTGCTTGTGCCAGTCGCCCTTTTCTATTTGATTCTACGAGGATTGGATACTGTCGAAGATGATATGACAATACCATTAGGGAAGAAGGAACCATTGTTGAGAACCTTTGACGAAATCATTGAGAAGGATGGATGGACATTCAACGAGAACGGGCCAAATGAAAAGGATCGAGAGCTCTTGGTTCATTTCGACAGTATCATCACTGAGTTCAAGAAGTGCAAACCAGCATATCAGAGCATCATCAAGGATATTACCAAGAAAATGGGTAATGGAATGGCCGATTACGTGAACAATGCAGAGCACAACATCAATGGTATCGACACTGTCAAGGATTATGAATTATACTGTCATTATGTAGCCGGTCTCGTAGGAGATGGTTTGACGCGATTGTTCGTCGAGGCCAAGTTGGCAAACCCAGCTTTGCTCGGCAAGCCAGAATTGTCCGAAGCCATGGGTCAATTCCTTCAAAAGACAAACATCATTCGTGATATTCGGGAAGATTTCGATGACAAGAGACGTTTCTGGCCCAAGGAGATCTGGTCGAAGCATGTCGACGAGTTTGACGACCTTTTTGAACCTAAAAATAGGCAAATTGCTTTGAATTGCAGTTCGGAAATGGTTCTGAATTCTCTCCGCCACGCCAATGAATGCTTGTTCTACATGGCAGGCATTAAAGACCAGAGTGTCTTCAATTTTGTTGCTATTCCACAAGCCATGGCAATCGCAACTTTGGAGCTTGTTTTCCAGAATCCTGCTGTCTTCGAGAAGAACGTCAAGATTACAAAGGGTGATGCTTGCCAATTGATGATGGAATCATCACAGAATTTGCGTACGGTTTGTGATATCTTCAAGAGATATGCAAGAAGAATAAATAAAAAGAACTCGCCCAAGGACCCCAACTTCCTCAAGATCAGCATTGCATGCGGAAAGGTATGTGATTCGGTTTCATTGTACAAACATCCAAGACTAACTCCCTTTAGATCGAACAGTTCATTGAATCTATATTCCCATCTCAAAATCCCGAGGCGATTGCATTACAACACGCCGGTGAAACATCTGTAGCACAGAAGAAATCAGCAGCCGAGGAAGCAGAGGCCAAGAAAGATGTCTTCTACCTCATGTTGGCAGTATTCGGAACCTTAATCGTCATCTCTGGACTTATGGTATGTATCCTCCCCTGGTCCCATGAAACCCCCACTAATACTATCCAGATTGGAGCAGCATGGCTTGCAGGAGCTCGATTCGACGTCGCTTTGAACGAAATCAGACAAGGAAACTTCGCACCAAAAGACCAAGGTATCCTAAAATTGCAAAATACTGCACCTGCATTTGATCATACGGAACTCTAATTCTCTACTATTTTGTAATACCTCTTTTTAACTCTCGAGCTGGCTAAGCGCGGTGCGGCGCCAATGAACTCTTATAAAGATTCTACTTTTTTAATGTACCTAATACTTGCTAATTGATGTACAATAACTTTGGGTCACAATGTGGATGGAAATAATGGGATGTGTGTATTAATGACTATTTCTTTTGAATTTTCTGAGCGTTTGATGTGTGGTCTGGTGTGAAACGATGGGATTACCACTCAAAGTGGACTTTCAACAACTCTATTATTTGGATATCAATTACATGTATATTTTAAGGCATTGTAAAATCGCATCCTCAACAAGCTTGCCACTTCAGGATTGGAAACGGGGTATGATTGCTTATTAGCTGTCGAAAAAATGGGGATATCGGGCTGCAGTTATTGGTATTGCTTCGGATTATCGTGTGGAGGCTTCAAGTAAGCAATGTGACAAGCTTGCTCACGCCCTTGGAAAGCGGCTTTTACTACCATATCTTTATCTCCTGTCCAGTTATTCCAAGTAGCTTTGTCAAATAGCCAATCTAATAAATCAACAATTTGAACGGCAACGAACAAACATTGAAATCTCATATCGCATTTGCAAGTCTATCATTCTCATTCCTTTCCTTTCCATTCCCTATGCAAAAATAACCACGATGACATACACATGACATCTACTTACTACGCTTCCACGCCCAAATCCACAGATCGTGCTCTTGGCACACTGCAACGCTAATCAAGACGTTTGATCTTTGATCAACGCAGTAATAAGGAAATTCCTTCGCTAGGTATAATATACTACCACTGAAGTTCCGCTCCGCTGCTACCTCCCATGTTGCCCGATTCATCTAATCTCTCCACCCTAGATTTAGGCTTTAGGTACGTTAGGTAAATCATCCGCAGCGGCTTGCGCATCTGAGTGTGAGTGATGATGATGATGACCATGCTCTTTCTTATCTTTTCCCTTTTTCTTGCTCTCCTTCTTTGCGGCTGCCTCGGCGACTAGTTGTTCAAAGGCCATGTAATCGCCTTCTTCTTCTGGGTTGCGTTGAGCCTAAGATTTTTGTTAGTTGTAGCTCGAATATTGTGGACACAGGGAATGGGTAAAATATACCTTGGAGTAGATTTCACCAGAAATAACGAGAGCTTGAGCACGCTCAAGTCTTTTCGCCATGGGAACTTTCTTATCGTTGAGAATCTCGTCACAGACATCCCGGAGAACACCTTGAATCTCAAATTTACTTCCACGCCATGCGGCTGTGAGAATCTTTCCTGTGACGCGACGCTCATATTCGACTTTCTTCTCGTCAGTCCAGTCCTCGCCACCCTTTTCTTCCATCTTGGCCATTTCCTCCATGGTCATTTGCGCATCGATAGCACTGGAGATAGTGTTCCAGGTTTCCTTTGCGATAGTTCCCTTGTCCTTTAATCTCGAGAAGAACCCGCCAATGCCTAAGAATTTCTGGGATTTGAGCAGTCCGGTAGCTTTTTGAAGATAAGTTTGACCGATCGCATGGAGAATATCCAGACCGAAAGATTCCATCTTGAGGTTCTCTACTTCGAGGCGTGTCTTCTCTTGGAAAGCCCTGGTGACATCAGGTCCCTTATCTGTCTCTGTCCATATGCTAATACGATCGATCAACTTCTTTGCCAATGTGTCGACTCGCTCTTTGCGAGCTGCAGCACGTTCTCTCTCGTACGCTGCGAGTTCGTCACGTTGGGCCTTGGAGAGACCACCCTTCTTCTTCTCTTTCTTCCTCAACTCTTTCTCCTCTTCTGTGATCCCTGCGGCAGCCATTTGAGCCTCTTCTTCAGTTTGGTTCATGATGGCTGGTCGGAGAGGAATCTGTGTACGCCTAGGAGTTGATGTTCCCGATGCGGCAGGGCTAGGGACAACTGGTGGCTTCTCCGAGTATGCGGGCGAAGGACTGTCTGGAGTCTCAGAAACAGATGCGGCGGGAACATGGGTAGTTTTACCATCTGCATCTGTCGTCGATGGTCCAGCCTTTTCATCTCCTGCAGCCATACTCTCCTGTTTCGCGGCCTCAGTTCCTGGGAACCTATCATCGCATTAGTCAACCTCTCCAAAGAATCACAAAGCTTCGCGATACCCCTCAGGTTTGCTAGCCGTGCCCCACAATCTTAATAGAACCAAACTCACTCTTCTTCCTCTTCCACGCCTTCTTGCATAGTAATATCCATAGTCTTCGTCAAGTCCTTCATCAAAGTAATCTCTCCAATGAGATCCACGAACGCCTCCCCTCCAAAGATCGTTCCAAAGAACTCTGCCGGGTCCGCAAATCCCTCGCCAGGTTGCGCAGAATCCTTTCCGAATTTATCATATCGTTTGCGCAACTCTTCGTCGCTGAGGACTTGGTATGCTTCGCCAATAGCTTGGAATTTCTCGTGAGCGGTGTCATCGCCGGGGTTCTTATCTATAGTTACATCAATATCGCACGGCTTGAGAGAATTGCTGAAGGATACCTACCCGGATGAGTGATAATAGCTAGCTTTCTGTATGCTTTCTTGATTTCTAATTCTGAAGCGTCGGGTTTGACACCGAGGGCCTCATAGTATGTGGTGTCAACAACCATTTTCAAGGTTGCTGAGGGGTACTCTGGGGAATGAGATTATTTGAGCTGAGCCCAACGGTCAGTTGTAATAGGTAGAGAGATAGAGTAATAAGAGATAATGTAGTATATTCCGCGACTCTAACGATAAGGATAGTCGGGATGGGATGAATGTACAGTGACTTGTTAGGTTTTTGGTGTAAGGCTGAAATTATTTTCTCGAGATTCAAGAATGGAATGCCGAGATTGTGATAGTATGACGCGAGGCTTTATTGACTGTCATAGAAGCGAAGGCGAGGGTGGCTTATGAGCTTATGTAGGTAGGACGGACGGACGTGGGTATTCACAATCACGATTACAAACGAACGGTATCGATGTCTGTCTCTCTTTTTTGTCCCTTTTCTTACTCTGGTGAACAATTCTTTAATAATAATTTGGGTGTTGAGATACACATTAGCTAGATTTTGATGAAGACTTTGCCAAAAACAAAATTCCTTATTATCAGGTCATTTGCTGTCAAGTTTTAACCCAGTACCTACCTACCTACATACATCGTACCTAGTTGTAGTTGTTGTCTCAGTTCGTTTGCATGAAATTTTCGTTCATGGAGGGGCAGTCAAGGATCCATAAAATACAGTATGAAAAGACTGTTTAAGATTAAGATTTCATCAATGCACCTACTGAATTAACTTGAGGGAGAAGGAAACCTTGGAACGTCAGGAAATACTGAATATCATCGCAAAACATGGATTGGGTTTTCAAATATTAGGTCATGAACATGTTCATCTGTTCCAATGGCATGTATGCGCAACAATTAAGCTGGAGAATCCATGCTGGCGTATGTAGAACCGTTGTATATCTTCTCAGCCCCTCAGTCCCTCTGACAATAATGTTAAAGTGGCCCTTGTCAGTGATTGGAGCTATATTTCACATTCTGATCATATCACATGTGTAGAGTACGTTCGAGAAAATCCTAGAACATTTTGCACAATACTAATAAGCATATTGATTTGAGATAAAGCGTGAAGATATTCAACCACGTTTAGAGTAAAGATATGCTTCAGATGATAAGACACAGAATCACAGCCTCTGCATGTGCCCATGTTACATGTTACATGTCTGTCCCAGCTATTTGGTACCGGCAGCAGCCATTCTTTGGAAACATCCCTTGTACGCCTCGTGAATTTCTGGGACTTCATAGCCATACTCGCCCAACTTTTTGACCAGCTTAGTGGTATCCAGCTTGCAATTACTTCTTCCCGCCTTAATGACCTTGGATTGTTCCTCCAATGTGAAGTTCTTCCATGTGAAATCTGGTCTCACATATTGCTTGAAGAGGGCCAAAACCTCGTTGTGAGAAATGGCTCCTGGGTTGGTAAAGTTGTAGATACCGGTATCTTTGTGCTCGGCCATGAGGATGGAAGCAGGGAGAAGGTCGTGGAGAATGGTATTCGAATTGGGGATATCGACTACACGGTCATATTTGGCAATTTTGGTGACGAAGTTTCGGGGGTGGAGATCATCACTGACGGGCATACGAAGTCGGAGGATGAGGGTGTTATTGTATGTCTTCATAACCTTCGCAGTAGTTGTTAGTATCTGTCTCCGAAATCATTCAACGAATTGTACTAACCTCCTCGACGTGGGCCTTAGTTTCCGAGTAGAATGAGCCGGCAAAGTTGGCTGGATCAGTCTCCAAGAATCCGGGTCCGCCAATTGGATGCTCATCGTTATAGGTATAGATACATCCTGTAGCGAAGACAGTGATATGAATACCCTTCAAGTAGCAAACATCGGTCAAGTTCAACGTTCCGATAACATTGCTTCGAATCGTCTCCTCCTTATTATCCTCGCACCAATCGACATTGGGGCGTCCAGTGCAGCCAGCACAGTTCAGAACATGGGTTGGCTTGATCTTTTCAATTTCTGCAATGACAGATTCGCGATTTTGCATGCGAACAGTGGTGGTGTAAACTTCCTTTCCCTGACTTTCAAGGAGAGTCTTGAGATGTCCTGGGGAAACTGGGTTAGCACGGTTCAGAAGCTCTTGAATGGGAGTGGGGTGATAGACATACCAGCAACCCAACCTTCTCCTCCCCAGATCAAAAAGCGGTTTGATGATGACATGATTGAAAGTGTTTGAGTTGATTCTAAACAGTATTTGTTGGGAAATATTGAAGCAGAGATGTGGGAAAAGAAGATATAAGACGGTGAGTGAAAGTAATGTGCTACATAAGCATCAGAGGATTAAGGAGGAGGCGTTGAGGCTGGATCTCATGCAAGGAGGGCCCAGAAAGCAGCGTGATTGATTGATTGAAATGAATTGATACGAGGATATGAGCTGTAAGGGAGCTGCTTATGTATCTCCTTATTATCCCTGAACGGTGAGAGTAGTTAGACTCTAATGGTATCAGATGTGGCAATGAGGGGTCCTTTACGACAAGTTCGTATAATTAATATCGATGCCATTGTAAATGTCAATGAAATATTCCATTTTCCTTTTCCTAACAGGAATCTAACTAAATGTATCGCTCTATTGTCTAGAGTACGTATATACCTAGTACATGTATGTGTACATTCAGTTTCACACAATGCATGCAGCAGTAAATAGGGTTTACTAGTGGGCAACTAATTCAACGTTGTGCTGTATGAATTATTTCCAAGAGTTCGTTTTAGATACCATGCACTGTGCAGCCCCTGTCGGCCCCTAATTCATTATTCAATGGCATTGGCCTATCACGTAGATAGCTCCCCACTTACACACTAGCCTAGATTTGATTTCACACCCTGAGCCCGGGCCAGTAGGGCAGCGATGTTTGTTTGAATGGCATAGCAGAGCAGCTCTTACATTAGTGCTCGAACACAATTTGTTAACATGTTTCGTATTGATCTTGGGTGCTGATAACCTTATGTGAGTTGACACGCCTGTCTCCACAACTACTAAGTACAGATTCTTAAACATTGGGCTATCTTTGAGGAATGAACGACCTCCATCCACACGCGTTTCCATGTGCTAGCCTTTATTGTCACTGCTAGATCTTGGCTTCATGCCGAAACTAGTTCTCGGTGTCAATCTTGAACGACGAACGGCGCTCTCCCTTCGTCTTTGCGCGAGATACTTGCCAAATTCCCATTTACCACTGAAGGTCGATGCGGTCGATGGGAACTTGGTTGATTTTTCAAGGTTCGCCTGCGATTCTTGATTTTCAAGGCTGACATCAACCATTTTTGGTTTATTCGAAGCTAGCGTATTGTACAAGGTCGCCCGTGCTGGCGGTGGAGATATTGATCTTTCACGTGAGGATTTTGATAAACGTTCTTGCGGTCTGCGCTCTCTCGAGGAACCCATTTCACACAAAATACGTGGAGCCTCTCGTTGAATCGGGCTTGCCAACCCACAAGCGTTTGCTTGTACTGATGGTGGACCATCCGGTGTCTTCCGCAAACTCCGTGGTGATGCCACATTTCGGAGAGATGGGGAACTATTAGGGGGCGACGATCCCATATCTGATGAGAATAGCAATTGGCTTGGGGTTTCAAAAAACCTTCTTGGGGCTTTTCCAGGCTCTTTTGAACCCCTTGATGGTGCCGCATTTGTCTTTGGCATTTTGGATGAATTTGATTGTGATACTGACGCTTTAGATGGCAGTAAAAAGTCTTCTGGGGCTCCGTTCCTCGCGGAGCCCCTCAAAACTGTTGTTTTTGAATGAGTCCGCTTCTTACTTTGCCTCGATGGCGTGAGCTCTGTAATTTTTGATGATAGCGATCGATCCGAACTTCTCGAGGATTTTCGTAAGGCAAGTTTTTCAAGATGAGCGGGGGCTCCTGACGGTAAAGGGGCATCGGAATTGGCAAAAGTAATGAGCTCACTAGATTGTTGCCTCACCGAGTTTGCTCTGATGCTCCCGGGACTGATTAACGGTTGCGAGGCAGTGCTCCTGTATTTTTGACGCAAGTCTTCGATAATACCATAATCTGGGGATTCGGGCGATAAAGCAGCTTTGAGACTTTCTGCAGTGATTATTGGTCCTGTTGTTTTATCGAAGTGAGTAAAATAGGGATCAGAAATCCCCAATTCATTGTAGAATCTAATTCCACTCAATCTGTTCCTACTATTGAGGACATGGTCCATGTATAGAGTATAGAACCAAACAAAATCATCCCATAGTGATGTCTGAGGTTGTCTGGTGGGGGTCTCAAGCCATTCCAGATATACAAGTGCACATATGAACTGTCTCTTATTCCCCTTATAGCGTGGGTAAGTATGAGAATACTTCTCAAAAAGCGAAGAAGGCCGCTGCTTTGACTGGTGGGAATGTCCCGAGCTCGGCCGAGTTCTTTCGGGTACAATCGAAGCTCTGGTCATGTTGCGACCGTCGAAAGGGGGAGATGATTGACGTGGAGGTAAGTTTTTGTAAGATGTGGAGGTCTGATCAGAGATCACTGTATCATGTAGATCTGTCTCAAATCCATCGTGGCTCTTTTGAGAATCTTCTAGAAATGCCACGTCTTGTGTTCCTTCGACATTGTTGCTAATTATTCCCGGATCTACTACTGGTGATCGCCTTTGTAGAACCTCTCGTATCTCACGCCTGTTGACTCTTACCATTTCGTTTCTGTCTTTATACGGCATTTCCTCTTGACTGAAACCTAGAACATGTTGTAGAACTAGAGGACCCGCAAATTTCTGTCGTTTGAAAGGACGTTCCCCCTCATGTCCTTGCTCTGGAGAACTCTGACTTAATGGTAAAAGGCTTATGGAAGGGCTCCTACTAGGAGATTGCAAATCATCAGAAGTAGCCCCATCAATATTGGGTATTGGTATAGATTGGCGATGCTGAGTCCTTGATACGCTCGGATAAGCTATGTGGTCATTGGACTTTGATAATATCTGCTGTTCACGAGGGTATTGAACCTTAGAGTTCTTTGGCTCGCTTTTGTCTCGAGGAGTGTCACCGAATGTGTCGATCATCTGAGGAGGTACTTTCGGTAGTTTAGGTGACTGAAATCGCCCGGATTCAGAGATAAGTAAGCTGTCTTCGACCGTTTCGTTTTGTGGGCTATCATAAGTTCCAGGAATCACAAAGTCTGACGACAATACTGCATTCGGCCGTTTTCTGTGATTCGGAGTCTTTTCAACTTGTACTTCAGACTTACGTTGCGCAGTTTCGAGCTGACGCTGTGAAAATCGTGACTGAAAATCTACAGGCGATTTGCGACTCTGGAGTCCGTTGCCTACGTCAGCAGGAACAGGCGAATTTGCCCTCGGAATTTCGTCACCCAGGACATTCGGAATATCCAGTTCCAGCTCCTCGTCATCCGAAAGACTATTAGCTGGGTATTGGACTGATACTGTAGGTGCCTTAACCTTAATAACACAAGTCGCCCTGTTTTCTGTGGCATTGGGAGAAGGTTGCGGAATGGCCTCTTGACAAGCCTCTGAGTCTAGCCCATCAGAAATATCGGAACTATGCGTTCCATCACCATTCTCAATCGTTAAAGAATTCTCTCGATCTGTAATCTGCTCGACGTTATCGTTTTGCCCAAGCACTTGTCTATGCTTTGAGTTGCGATTTGAACTATGGCAACTAACTTCCGTCGCATCACTCAACTTCCTATCTAAATGATGATCCTCATCGTCGCTATGTTCTATTGGTGAGGGGGTGGAATGTCGATTTAACCTTTGATGGGGGGTGTAATTTTCCTCCAACGCCTGTCTAGGTTTCGAGTTTCGTTCTGGACTAGGGCAACTAACTTCAGTCATATCACTTGAGTCACTATCTGACTGATGACTCTCATCACCTTCAAACACAGATTTAGACTGCGGATCTTCATGAGTATATTCTAGTTCTTCAATTCCTTTCGAGTGGCCAAGGGCGGCGGGACTGCCCTTACAATCGTCCCCATTTTCCGTCTCAATAGTGTCCTGGCTCGAGTCTGGCTTAGAGGCCTGACTACTCTGTACTAGATTCTTGGGACTAGCTGAAGCTTGTGCAGCCAGCAATTTCTCATAAAAAGCTAGTTGAGATTGTAGAATTGCTGGGGGTAGATTTGGTACGGATTTACGATCATCTGACAATGAGGCAACCGAGTCCGGACGCTGGCACCAATCGTTCTGTTCTTTTGAAATACGACCATAAGGGTGTGGAATACACGAGATATTTTTCTGAAATGGCAAAATTTCATTAATTGGAGAATTAGCATGGATTTTCCCGCTGGAAGATTCCATAGCCTCGAGGGTCGCATTCGTCTCATCGCCTAGCATCCTATTGTTACCATTTCTTTGTTCATCTATGGAGGGCCTGGAAGACTGTTGGACCTGTAAATCGTTTATGTGTCTCGTGTCATCACCTCTTTCCAAATTTGTGGCAACAGAACTTGATTTTGGTGAAAGTGGTTGTGCTGACCCTGTAATATCGGCCGAGTCAAGTGGTTGTCCCGGCTTACTGAGATGAGAACTATCATTTGTAATTTGGACGGTCGTACCATTCTGAAGAATTGTTAGGACATTCGAAGTGCACAGCTTTGGTTGATGCAGATCAGAAACAGTGCTATTTCCTCTTCTGGATTCCGAAATGCTGGCGGGAACCTGTGTCGCAAGCATAGCAGACTGTGAAGGTGTTGAAGTATTTTGGGATTCGAGTTCGAACTTTTGGTGAACAGTGTTCTCGCGATTCTCCGCATTCAGGAACTCTTTTATTGCATCCAATTTGTTATCAATGGTTCCCCCAATGTCTACAGCACGTGCCGAGCCAGAAACATCTTGCGGTCCTTTGGGCTTAAAACTTAGAATGTTCAGGTATAACCTGGTTGGTCGCTCTACAGCAATATTGAAGTCACACACCCGAAGTTGAAGTTAGTACTCTTTTGGAACTTATCATGAACTGACGAGATCATCATACCAATTGCAACTTCTCCGCTGCTAGAGTTTCTCCAATAAACTCCTCCAGTGTCCTTTTGTGCTTCTCCAAATAGCGACTGAGAAAGTCTTGTTCGAAAATTGCTGTGATCTTGGTGGTACCATCAGATACGATCATAGACTGCATTGAATCCCGCGCCTTGCTGTTCTGTACATGTGTCAACAGACAGAAATAGTGAAAAAAGATTCAAATGATTGACCCACACTAATTAAATGAATCAATCCGGGCTTTTCAAGCTTGATAAAGAGTCTTTCCTGCTCGTAAGAGAATTGTTCGTGAGACTTGCAGGCATTTTCTTGAGCAGTACGCGTTGATTGCAGCCAAACCAGTGCTTCTTCCAAGGATTGTTCAATATTTTGGGCAAGCCAGCTTCGTAAGAGAGTCATGATGAAGATGATTGCTGTGGATTATTTGAGATCTCCAGTGTTATTATATCTAATTCGAATATAAATTCGTGAATCTGAAATCATAATCTCACAAACTCATAGATACAAAGACTACCTAGTGTGTGTAGTATCATAACATGGTGTTGAATTATCCAGCTAGACTTTCTGGAAAGTATTAAAGAACGTTATTGTAGCGACAATAGTTCAAGTGCGCATTCAATATTCATAGCATTGAGATTGTTTAATGTGGTAAATGAATGGATTGAATAGAGTCGAGTCGAGTTGAGTTGAGTTGAGTTGACTTATTAATATAATAATCTGGAAGACGCGTTCGTGATCTCAATTTACAATAGAGTGGAGTACTGGGCACGCTAGGCTAGCTCGAGCTAGGCAAGAATCCATAGGCATGTAATGTGGCGTGTGTGGCTGATGGTGATCGGAATGCCAATACTCCGTCACACATATTATCCTTGATAATGATGATATCTACCCATCCAGCACCGCAGAAACCTGGGACATTTGGAAATATACATACTTTTGTAATATTCGATATCAACTCAAGGAATCATTATTTTGGATCAGAAATAAGATTAGTACGTTCATAGCCCAGTGAATTATCATTAGAACATCAAGGATCCCAATGCATATATGTATTGTTATAAGATACCTGCTAGATATCAAAGTGAGAGTGTTTCCCATGCATGATTTTTGAGTGATTTATTAGTGGACCGCCTTTTCTCGATCATACGAAGCTATCCGTGCTACCCAACTGCTTGTATGAGGGGAAATTCCAATATCCTCACAACGCTTTTCAAATAAAGTGCATTCGTTTCTATTGATCCTTCCCAAAATGCAGCTTACTCTTCGACTCATAAAGCGAAAACAAATACTGCTGTAGCTTATCCAACAATACCAGCAAATTGTTGTTGTCATAAGAAATGCTGCCACCACTTTCCAGTTAGTGATTCTATCAAGGGCATTCATCCCATCTGGCTGACCATTCATCCATCCAGCCAAAGAGCAATCTGCACATTTCGTTCCGCAAGACAACTCATTTAACTTTACAAATCAACTTCATGACATGATTACGCACACTCAAAGCGGTCTAAGCTGTCGCACAACTTTGGTTTATCGAACACAATATATGATTCGCTCTTGATAGGAGGGCATCGGTCTGCTAAGAACCAAGAGCTCCGAGTTCACCCTCGCAGTTTTAACAGGCGAAAAATAAGAAGTTACCGGCGTTTTTATGAGAAGAAAATGTCGTCTCATGGATCCCCAAGACCTTCTGTGATGGCGCCGCTATTGATTCCACTGAAAGCGCGATCTCGTCGAGGATCGCTAGTATCACTTCCTGGAGCCACCCCCGTCGACAAGGAACAGCTGGCACAAGCTCTTGATAAAATACATAGTACTGCTTGTCAGTCAGAGACTCTTACCACGTTCAACGAGTTTGCCCCTCCACCTCCATCCTCCTCGAACCCCGAAAGTAAAGGCTTGGCTGGAGATATTATGCAAAATGGCTTGAGTGGTCTATACAGTCGGTTTAAAGGCGCAGTTGGAGTAGGAAAGGATAAAGCAGGGAGCACCTCCGTGAAAGGTGACAATGAGAGTTTCGACACGATTTCAATCAAGAGTCAAAATGCATCGAATACTCCGGGTTCAAAAGGTTCTGCTGGTCTTGCGCGTGAGGATTCGAGCATCACTGCTTCGCCCATCCAACTTTCAACGACGTCTTCACAAATTCAGTCCCCATCTGTATCTTCGTTCATGGGGAATTCGTCTGGGATGCAGTCACATGCTACCAAATCGTCAAAGGCCTCGCTCTCGTCAGCACCTTTAATCTCAAAATCGGCAGCCAGGCCTCCTCTCAATCCAATGGTTAAGAACGCTTCGTCTTCCGCTGTTGTCCCTACCGTTGCACCTGTCAATGCAGTTGCATTTAAAGAGGGGGAAAAGGCTCGGCTGGGAAGTTCGGATGGAAATGTTACAGATAAAGTAAATAAGAAAGGTGCTTCAGACAGACCCGAACCAGCTTCAGCGTCAGATTATACTCACCCTAACACGTTTGGCTCGGCGAGCGTATCCGAAAGTAGACGTTTTCCAGACCATTCTTCGGGCTTAGACGAGTCGGAGTCGTTTGATTTTGAGCCCATGAAAAGCGAATCTGCTGGGCGAATGTCGCTAGGCAATATAGACTCCAAAAAGGAATCCCAGGAGATGAGATTTCGTGCTAGTGATGGTAGCGCCACAGGAAGGGCCAAATCTCTGAGTAATCCTAAAACAGCATCGTCTACACTTTCTTCCATAAAGAGCTCAGACCCAAGACCGAATGCAACACCGCGTCTCTTCATCCCGGAAACTGCCAGGCGAGGCCCTGCCGTCGAACGTATAACTCAGTCACATCTCCCTGGCTATCAAGCATCACGTGCCTCTTCGACGGATCGCAGTACCGCGGAAGCTAGTCCTGTCCACACGTCTGCACATAATCATGTGCGGCATGATTCTTTTGGTACAGATGAGCGTTCTTCGCGCACTTACTCCGGTAGGGCTCGCATACCCGGCACTACTACAAATGGAGGCAATGCAGAAGTAGTCAGCGCTCGCTTAGAACAAATGAGAAAGCAAGTCCTCAGTAAAGAATTTTGGATGGCTGATGACATCTGCAAAGAGTGTTTCTTATGCGGCGATCCTTTCACTGCCTTTCGCAGAAAACATCATTGCCGAACGTGCGGATGTATCTTTGACTCAAAATGCACACAGACTATTTCAGGTCAAAGATTTGGTGTTCAGGGGTCACTTCGGATGTGTACAACTTGCCTCGATATCATAAACAGGCGTCACGATAGTAGCGGCTCTGAGGATTCAGATGACGAATCAGGCTTGCCGACTTTCTTCCATTCTCAACAGGCAAAGTTTGACTCCTCCACATCAACTAAAATAGATCTGCCGGAGAGTTCAAGTGATTCAGTGAAGATAGGAGACGAATCTAGACCTCTAGCGACCCCAATGATGGCCATACCTGCCACGCGACGAATTGGAGATTCTTCCAACAGGCGGTCCGCCATTCTAGAAATAGATGCACCGCAACTGAGTCGCCCAAGTTCATCCAGATCACTGAAAGCGTTGTCTACTGCTGCGAGGCCTTCATCTTCTAGCCATAGGCGGCATCAGTCAAAACACAACTTTCTTGGTCGTTTCAAAACCCCTGCCGGAGACAGAGCACCATTTCATCGTGGACTGACCGATGATATTGGAAAAGGAACACGTCTACCAGCCTTCCATGACGATAATATTATTGATCCAGATTTGGCACCGTACATGTCGGATGAAGGCTCAAGCGCTGATGAACAGATGAGTATTTTTGCTACTTTGAACAATGGTAACACTACAACTTCTCCTTTCGAAAATGACAGAGTGGGTTTTGGCTCTTTGCTGAACGCTACCAAAAGACATAGGGCTAGAACTGGCGATAAAAGTGTCAGTGGGATCAGTTTCACAAGCCGAGGCTTAGAAGATGCTAGTGCAACTGTTGGGGCTTTTACACGACCCAATCGTCGTCGTAATCTGAGCGTTGCTAGTAACACTTTACATCATACTCGTCCCTCACCAAGACAAATGAAGCCGACAAGCTTAGCGAAGGGGTATGGGAATGTGAATGAAGACATCACTACACCGGAGCACTTATCAGATGTGCCTACGCCGGCAGGCATGTCTTCAAAAATGACTCGAAGTGCATCGATGCGAGATGCTAAAGCTCCTGCTATAGAGCTAAATAATGCTAGTTTACATCATGTCCGACGGCTGCTACATCAATTACTTGAAGACGCAGACGTTCCAAACGTTGCTTCTTGGGAGAAGGCCCTAATACCTATTCTTCTTCAGTGCACGGACGATGTAAACCCAGACGTTCGGCGCGGTGATGACATAGACATTCGCCATTACGTTAAGTTAAAGAAGATACCCGGTGGAAAACCAGGAGATACTTCATATGTATCAGGCGTCGTATTCACCAAGAACCTGGCCTTGAAAAGCATGCCTAGGAGTATTTCGAATCCCCGCATTGTTATTGTATCATTTCCCATTGAATATCAACGCCATCAATCGTCCTTTATGAGTCTGGAGCCTGTTATCGCGCAAGAGAAAGAATTCTTGAGAAACATGGTGAATCGAATTGCATCTCTGCGTCCCCAGCTTCTCTTGGTTCAAAAGCATATTTCCGGGCTTGCTTTGCAATATCTCGCCGAGGCAAATATTGCTGTTATCTATAATGTTAAGCCGTCAGTAATAGAGGCAGTTTCAAGATGTGCCCAGACGGAGGTCATTTCATCTATCGATATGGTAGCTCTAAAGCCAGTACACATAGGCAAGAGTTCTGGCTTTGATGTGAAAACTTATGTCCACGGCGATATTCCGGGGAGAAAAAAGACTTACATATATCTATCGGGGTGCCCAAAAGAGCTAGGATGCACCATCGCTCTCCGGGGTGCTAGCATGCCTGTACTTGCCAAAATGAAGCAGATCACTGAATTTATGGTATACGTGGTTTACAATTTGAAACTTGAAACATGCCTAATGAGGGATGAATTCGTCTTGATCCCGTCCGTGGCAGACACTGGCAATCTCTCGCCTGCAAGACAAAATGGACAGACTTCGAAATCCATAGGCTCGGATACTATACCTCAGCAAGACACAGTTATGGCCGCGAGCAATGTATTGCAGGCTGCTAATGAGTCGAATAAAGTCAAAGGTCTTTCTCAAGATGAGCTCGGCAACAATGAAGGCATATCCGCCGATAAAGTTCTCATTAACCCTGAATCTACAATTGAGGCTCAAACAGCCACACTGACTGACAAAAAGCCGGAAGTGTCCAGAATGATCTCTGCACACGAGTCACATTCTCACTCTTCCCATGACGATCACCTACCAGAAGATGTACCTATGCCAACTTTCTATAGCGATATGGTAGCCAAGCATCAAACTAAAATTCTATCTGCCTCTCCATTTGTGAAGTTTATGCAACCGTATCTATTGGTTAGGGCGAGAGAGCAGGAGCGAAGACTTGTCTATTTGAAAAGGCTTCGTGACCAAGACATGTTTGAAGAGCAGACCGATACAGAAAAATCGAAGCCGCAGAAGTTTCAGCTCATAAAGCCCGACATGGTCCACGAAAGTATTAAGAATGCACCCAGGCAAATCATGGAGGTCCTACACGCTGTACATGATGCCGAGTATGATAAGGCTTTGCACAATTACCAGACACAGACTCGGCAATGGGAGAATTATATTCAAGGGAATCTCAACTTGTTCGATCCGTATGGACACCAAAATATCACTGTGCTATACACAGTCGTCTGCACGGAAACTTCAATTCCTTGTGCTGGGCCCGATCTTCTTACCCTAGCATTCTATACCGAACACGAAATATCAGCAGAAATAGATCCTGATTGTACACTGGGTCAGTATGTAGAGGATCTGTGCTTGACGATCAACACTACCTGTACATTTAATGGCTGCGATCGTAAGATGTCGGAGCATCATCGAACTTATGTTCATGGCGAAGCACGCATAACTGTGTTCGTTGAAAGATCACCTTGTAAGATCAAAGGACTTCAGGATTCCATTTTGATGTGGAGCTATTGCAAAAAATGTCAAAAGGAAACTCAGGTTATGCCCATGTCTGAAAGTACTTGGAAATACTCTTTTGGCAAGTATTTAGAACTATCTTTTTGGAGCAGCGAGTTGCATCTCAGGGCAGGGATTTGTCCCCATGATTTGCATCGTGATCATTTGCGATATTTTGGCTTCCGCAACGTCGCCATTAGGATCCACTACGATCCTATTGACCTTCTTGAAATTGTTGTACCTCGAACAAGAATTACCTGGAAAGTAGATAATGATTTGAGGTTGAAAAACGAGCTTTTTACAAAAATAGAAGAACGGTGGAACAGGTTTATGACATCGGTAGTTTCGAGGATCAAAGGAATTAACATTGATAGCGTGGCACCCGAAAAGGCGGAAGCATGTAAAGCCGAAATAGAACGCTTAACGAAACGTGCGCAAGAAGAACACAGTGCCTTGTTACGCAAATTACAGGATAAATATATGGAATCGAAATACTATGAAATAATCCCATTGAATAGAGCCGTAAGAGCCATGCAAGAGAAGGTTGCAGAGTGGGACGATGCCTTCCAAGATTTTGATGGAAACTTCTTTCCCTCAGAAAAGGACATTCGCCGCCTTGCCGCAATACAACTCAAGAGGATGTTTATGGATCGTGACGAATCTCAAACTTCATTGGTGTCTGTAGAGACGAATGAACCATTGTCTGATGCCGAAGAGAAATCCGCAATTCAAGCACCAACTGAAACCGCAACAGAACCGAGTCAGGATACAGAAGAATCGCCAGATGATCAGCTAACAGTAGTCGAAGACAGTTCAATCCCAGATCTGGCAACGGTTGATTCACAGCCTTCCGATGAAATCCAACCATCTATAGCAGAGGATCCAATTCAATCGCCTCGGCATGAGGGAGTAGAACATCTTGATCTCGCTATTCCAGAAACCACAGATCAAGAAGTTGCTTTGGACACTTTGACACCGACAGATGCATCTGACTTCCTCACATCTAGTCCGTCTGAAATGGAAAGTCCCCCGGACGTAGAAATACCAACAGCGCCTTTAGAAGCAACCCTATCCGAGAAAATCGAAAGATTACGAAGGGCAAACCAATCATATTCTGGCGAGCAAGGGCAATCACAAACGGAGACCTCGGGAATTCCAAGACCAACGGAACGTACAACCTCGCGCCGGAGTGGTGCTTCGCCTCCTCTCAATCGTACTCAGTCGCAGCCTGCAAATACCTTACGTCGCATACAACCAATCTCTAGTAAGGCATATCAACGTCTAGGAGATGCGCGCAAGTCTACTGACACTCAGATCCCATTACTTGAACCTTTGAAGTCATCTACGACAGAGCCGGTGAGACCCACCGACAAGAGACTTTCGGAAAGATTGGGCTTGGGGTCACTCAAACAGAATCGCAAGGCGGGACACTCCCTAATTCCAAGATCTGTGCAGAGTAAACGAAAGGAATCCAAAGTTACAACGCTAGCAAAGCACTTCGAGCAGCTGAGTAGAGAGTTTGAGAAAGAACGTCTACGCGATAGGAGACGAATGGCAGCGAAAGTCACACAATCAAGAGCTTTCCCTAAGGCATCTTCCAAGCCGATTGTCGAGATATACAAGGATATCAACGAAGCTGTAGAGGAACGCGGACCCCCCGACGAAGTTTCCTTAGACTCTGAATCCATACGAGTTAGTACAGAATCTACTGGCATCGCTGAAGGGCTCGCCGAATTTAATATGGACCCTCCTAGTAGTGAGACTCAGCCAGATTCACCAACTGACACGTCTGCCGCTACTGAAGGCGTTGTTGCCGACATTGAAGCCGATGACAGCCATCAAAACTTTAGTCAAACTGGTTCGGATGACGAAGGAGCTGTTAGCGATGCAGATCATTCTTTGATTGGTGACCTCTTGCAGGGCGCGGAGGAATTAGCTGAATCGCTTCGTGTAGGCAAGCCAAATGCTGACCTTCCGCTGGAGATACCAAAGCATGAGAAGTCTAGTCTTATGAAGATGTTAACTAATTTCTGGGCGGAGAGATCTGCCAGTGGTTGGACTCAGCTTGAGTATCCCATTAATGCTGGTGAGCATATATTTGTCGATTCTGATGTTATTATTAGAGAGGATGAGCCGAGCTCGTTGATAGCTTTTACGCTGTCATCGGAACATTATCTGGCTAAGTTGGATGATCTTCGACAACAAGGTCCAGCATGCGCAAAATCTCAAGAGCACGATTCTATGCCATTAGATGGTACACCGGATATATGCGAAGATGGTATCAACCAAGCAGAAGTCGAAACTTCATTATTGCGTGCCACTGGTACTCATCTTGCGTACTCATTCGTCGATTCCTCGGCAAGAATGCAATGCAAAATTTTCTTTGCGGAACAATTTGATGCTGTGCGAAGAAAGTGCGGAGTAGCAGATCGAATCGTAGAATCGTTATCTCGGTGCTTAAAATGGGATTCTAAAGGAGGAAAGACCAAATCCGTATTCTTGAAAACACTCGATGACAGACTGGTTTTGAAACAATTATCCCCCATAGAAACTCAGGCATTCCTCAAATTCGCGCCAGCTTATTTCAACATCATATCCGAGGCGTTGTTTCATGAGTTACCTACGGCCATTGCGAAAATGCTTGGTTTCTTCCAGATTGTTATCAAAAATCCAGCTACGGGCACGGAAATCAAGTGGGATGTGCTGGTAATGGAAAACCTTTTCTATGATCGTTCGCCCACACGCATTTTTGATTTGAAGGGATCTATGCGAAACAGGAAAATCCAGTCTACAGGGGAGCAGAATGAAGTGCTTCTGGATGAGAACATGGTTGAATTTATCTATGAGTCTCCTTTATTTGCACGTGAGGTAAGTAAAGTAAGAGCAACGCATAGTTCATGTCACTGATTTGTGTAAAGCATTCTAAAAAACTTCTTCGATCTGCCATTTTCAATGATACTCTCTTCTTGCAACGAAACGATGTAATGGATTACTCGCTGATGGTAGCTGTGGATGAGGTGAGTGTTGCCAAGTAAATACGGATTTAGCATATACTTACATGATGAAGGCACGAAAAGAGCTTGTCGTCGGAATCATTGATGTAGTTCGTACTTACACCTGGGACAAGAAGTTAGAATCGTGGATCAAAGGTACTGTTTCATCTAGACCTGGTCCTTGTAATTTCATGCTAACGAATACATCTAGATCGTGGTTTTGCTGGTGGTGGCCGCAATCGACCTACTGTCACGTCGCCTAAGGTCTGTGCAATTCTCCTTTCTAACTATAAGTTACGTAGTCTTAACAAGCGTGTAGGAATATAAAAGTCGTTTCAGAGAAGCGATGAATAGATATATCCTTCAAGGTACCAATATCTCCTTTCCCTGGCGATCCTATGTTTGCTAATGAGAATAAATAGCTCCCAACAGTTGGCACCAACCTCTGGATGGAAGACCGAGAAGAGACTCAAGGCAGATGGGGCAAGAGGCAAGAACACCGGTCTTGTGATATGCAATGGGCACGATGCAAATAAGCTAGATGCTTGGCATGATATGAAGCAGAGCTTACGTTGAGAGGTGTACAGACTTAATTGGGCATTGGGCCTTTGAACGGGGGGATTGGGGTGGGGGGAGGGGGGGGGGTACGAAGAATCAATCCCATTACAGGCTAGATTAGGAAGGCGAAGACTTGCGATGTGGCTATGCATTTCACGCCAACTATAGACAAGAATATAGTCCAAGAAAGCCCATTGAATCAAGGTTCAAATTCGTTCTTCAATCATGCAACAGAAATCCAAGAAGAATCCAGGTAATGAATGTTGAACGTCAGTAATTGATTTGGAAATAAGGAATTACTGTGTGAGGTAATTGTCTGAGGCCTGTGGCCGATGACATATGTTCAATTTCAGCGATTTTTGTGTGGAAAGGCATGCCAAGATTATGTGTGATTGAGACGTAAAAATCATCGTGGGGGTATCATTGGCATTAACATTAATATATTCTATTTAAGTACATAAGCTTTTAAGTCTTTTGGCCTTTCTTCCTAGATGGCTGTTTCCGCCTAGGGGGATTCGAATCTTTTGAAAGTTGTTTACGAAGTTGCTCATTGACAGCTTCAGCTTCATCTTCTTCCCCGGCAGGTTCGTCAGCATCACCAGCTTCGCTTTCCTCGTCAGACTCTATGCCAAAAGCCTTATCAATTGTTTCAGCATCAGCGACATCATTCAGCGCGGCACCACCATCTTCATTATCACTGTCAAAGCCTTCAAATCTACAAAACATGTTAGCGTAAAGTCTGATGTGTTATGGTTTTCCTAAGAACTTACGAGTCATCTCCATTGTCGGCTTCGGCCATCGAAGCGATATCTCCAATAGATGTGTCAGCTACTGATTCTCCAGCTTCATCACGCTTTCTCTTCCGTGGCATTTCGCCCAATCTACCTTCCCGTCCTTCTACTCCGGTTTCTTCTGGACCTTCGAGCTTTGGAGGTGGAGTAAACCATGGAATTTTGCCCCTCAAGAAGTCATTGAGGACCATCTTTGCCACGCCGTCAACATCGGGCTCGCCTCCATGTAACAGTCTTCCTCCCTTTCGTGCAAGAAGCTCTAAGAATTCGATGTGGTTTTTGTATCCCTTGAGAGCATATGTTCTTTCAATGTGTTGGGGTTTAGTTTTACTCAAAACTGCGGGAATATATTGTTCTGGATGTTCAACATTCTCAACTCTGACTACACCTCGTAGTAGAATATCTTGGGGTGTATCAGTAGTACTGGGAGGAACTACTCCAGGACAATCAATGAGATAAATACGTTTCATGAGAGTAATGTACTGCCAAACTTTTGTTTCACCCGGTATTGGAGCAACTGTGCAGACCTTTTTCTTCCTCAACGTGTTAATGATTGATGATTTGCCAGTGTTTGGATATCCAATGAAGCCAACTGATATTTGTTTGCGGTCGGCATGTAGGGAAGAGAATTGACGGAGGAGTTGGATGAGGGATCCTTTTCCGAAGGAATTTGTTATCGAGGCGTGAAATGCAAGAGTTGGATAATCTTTGGAGAGCGATCGCACCCAAGCGGCCTGCAGTATATTAGCATATGACATCAAATATATTGCATGTGAAATAGTATCATTGGGTGCACTGGTGAAATGTATGAATCATTACTAAGAAAACCACCACAAGCCACTAGCTAAAGAGGAAGTGGAATTCAACTCAAACGAAACATTATCGAACTCTTTGCGACAGACTCTCCAAGACGGTGAGCTGCCTACTCGAGACCCAAAAGCCAAGAGCGGCGAGAATGAACTCGATCTACCAAAGTTGTAACAGACTGCCTTCCATTGTGAGGAGCACATAGTGCAGAAGATGCCTTGACTTAACGATGGAATAAAAACGGGGGCAATAAATGAGTAGAAACGGTTAACACGTGGAAGAATGGTTTTCAAACTTACAGCAACTCCAGTAGGTACAAGGTCGCACTTGTTGAGTACGAATATCAAGTGCTTATGGGGTGCTTCGTCCTTGATGTACTTTTCCACAGTCCGACAACGAGTTCCTAGAGGATCTCTAGCATCTAAAACATGTATGATCACATCTGATGAATCGATAACTTTGTAAAGCTCATTCCATATGCGTTTGCTTTGACCCTTGCTGAAAATTGCCTCTCGAGCACTGGTGATGTGGCCATCATCAATAGCAGCAGCTTCACCAACAGCTTCGGGATCGTTTGAAGTTCCACTCAGAAGCTTTGCTTGTTCGAGTCGATCCAGGTATGTATCGTGGCTCTTAACACTATCGTCGGCAAGATCTTCCAACGAACTGACACCGAGCTTTACTCTCTTTCGTTGTGCTTTGGGACCGAAGGTATCACTGAACGGAGACGCCTCGACTGCCATCTTGGCTTGATGCTGCTTCAATCCATTTTTTCCTTGTCCGTCGCGGATTAGTGACATTGGCAATTTATTAGTCTTTAGCAATACCGAGTAAGGATCACTCGCTCGTTCAGCCATAGCTTCTCTAAATGAGGTCAAGGCATCTTGACCAATGACTCTCGAATTCGTAAACCATTTTCTGTTGGGCTCGATTCGTGCGGGTTTTGTTTCTCTGCTTTGGAAGGTAGCGGCTTGAGTAACTTTTCCTGCGGCATTGTGACGAGCTTTGCCTTCATTAAACATATTCAAGGTCTTGGCTTGCTTTGCTGTGCTGTGTAATTGTTAGTTTTCAATCCGTCAACATGTGTAATGGCGGGAACATACCGATAGAAATTCTCGCCCTTGGTCTTAACATTGGCCATACCATCTCCTACTTTCCCTTGCTTGACCTTTCTGGCCGCTTCTTTCTTACCGGTACCCATATTGATAATTGATGCGCGATGCGCTGTGAAATTTTGAGGTTGTGAAAAAAGTATGAAGAGGAGGAAGTTGAAGCTTAGGAAAAAAAAAGTTTTAGAGATTTTTGGGGGTTGTGGCTGACGTGCGTCGCGCTAAGGTGTGGCTAGGTGGGTTAGCCTCTAAAATATCTCCACTAACCAAAGATATTTTATCAACTTCGATTGCGAGGTAAGGGACGGAGTGCCTTTATCAGAATGTCCTCGGGATACTGAACCCTACACTCTGACAACATACATCTGCCTCCCGTCTGACCCAAAATATCGTCATTTTTTGCGGTATCTTTCGAATACAATGTCATCAAGTATGTCGAAGAGTTCTTTGAGCTTCATTGGGCGATGTAGGCCCAGTCAATCCACCGCTGTCTCATCTCGAACTTTTTCCACCACTACTTCATGTAGCGCTATTGGACCTGAAAACCCTCGATTTATTGAAATACCCACCACTCAACAACCAGACGCCCGAGGGCATAGAGATATCAAAGGAACTCTACCTCCCCCACGAAACCTTTTCCCCAACCGCGGCCCCGACAAGATCTCGAAGAAATATCTAGATTCCGTGACTCGTGAGCCCTCGAAACCTCCAAAGAACCCAAACGATTATGTCGCATGGAAGCATCGGCTAGCAACTCAGAGACGTGAGAGCTTAAAGGAAGCGTTGGTAAATCTTCATAAGAGGAAATTGGCCCAGGAGCGCATAGTTGCACACAAGAGCTACTCGAAACGTATGGCCAATGAAAAGAGACTTAAGGCTCCCCAACGAGAGGATGAAAGGCTGATGAACCCCACAATTACGGAAGCTATGTCGAAACTGCAAGTAGGCTTCGTTCCGGATCTAGATAGAGAAAGTGAACTGGCACAAAAGGCATTAAGGGTACAAATCAGGGCGGCTGAAAGGGAGGAACAGAGGAAGAACGCGTTGCATACGCTATACATGAAGGCTCGTTCATTCATCACCACGGAGGAGCAATTGAATGCTAAGATCGATGAGATCTTCACGAATCCTTTCGACAAAAATGCACCTTACAAGAGAAATATCTGGGAGGTACACGAGAAACCACCCACTGTCCAGGATATGCTTTCAGGTGTCAACAATTCTCATAAGACTGCCGTCGGAAGATATTCGCATCCTGCTGTAATTACTGGAACCAGAATGCAGCACATCGCAGAAGAATTAACCGGTGGGAAGATGGACTAGTAGGCCTGCGTCATGACAGTTATTTCGGATACTTCAACAATGCTCGCTTGTACAGTATTTAGACATTCAACGATTTCTTACGTCTCTTACGTCAACTGCATGTCAACTTTTCACGTTTCGAGTGCATTCATGGATTGTTGCGCTGTTTTTGTGATGTCAATGCCTATCCATTCGTCGTCTATTACAGTGCGGGGTTTTTATGCGTATTGCGAAGGGTCTACAGGGTGCTTTAAAGGAGATGCATTTTGAGACAATCCAATTGGCGTCTTTTAGATATGACGCGCCACTCTCAACGTGCTTATGAACGAGCAATCGCCTATCTCTTGGGAAGCAAGCCTCGAAGCTTAAACGTTCACTGTTCAAAAGTGTTCTCTATAAGACAGCTTCAATAGAGATTATATCACTTTTCTACACCATTTTTCACAGTGTCATTGTCAAACATCATGTTTCTAGTTCTCTCGTCCAATGCTACGACGTTCATGAATGACGTTTCATCCCCGCCCGTCTGATTTTCCGTCCAGGTAAAACTATTCCCCAGAGTCTATCACTCATTGCCGTGGCCGAAAGTTCATTCGATTTCATGATCCTCCCAGCTCAGTCGCGCCACATGAAATGAAGCACCGTGCCTAGCCATAAAGCCGTTATTCTACCCCACAATTCCTGAACCAACTTCGACGCCCCTGTACTCTTACCGTTGTACCTAAACAAACCTGTCGGTGACGTGACCAATGACGTTCGTGAATCGCTCCACCGCGACCGATGATTGAAGTCGGTATGCAGTACCAAAGCCGCCTGCGTAGATGATAGTGTCTATTGATGTGGGTGTTGAGGTAGAGTTGACTAGACTGTCCATGTTTGGTCCCTTATGTACGTCGCTTTCGGGCGGCTGAATAGCTTACTTGAAACCGTTTGCGGGAGTGACATGGCGGCAACCGAGACCGAAGGGGGGCACAAATCAATTGTGGCGACAGTCAACCTTCGAATGCATGCCGTACACGTGTTAGGCGAGGAGTAGATAATGAATTTATTTGGATTGGGTTGACGACAGCTGATATCACAGTGTAAAATTATCTAGACAGTTAAGGAAATTATTGCAAATAGATCATCTAAACCAAATTTGACACTCCTGATCTTGACTGTACTTGAATAAAAGTATAAGGTAACAATGATAACTACCAATATAGTGAAAGTTGTACAATTGGATTCACTAAGTGCGCTCTGAATTTCTGCACTCTTACCTCCTTTGGGAGATAGCCCTGACTGAGCAAGACGAAAGTAATCAACATCATGCCATGCAGCTTAAAATGCCTAAGTAATTTCTCCGGAGCAACCAGTGGCTTCGTGCTCATCCTAGTCTACTATTTGCAGAAATAATACAATACAAATATAATACTAATGCATATCAGATATGCTGTTGGAATTATGTTGGAAAATAAAACGCGTAATCCATGTACACATGGTGGATTGATGTGCAGGTGGATGCAAACCGGTTGGTGGTGTCAACGAGATGTCGATTCTATTTGTCTTGGCTTTGGGTCTCGATGTAAGAGGAACAACAACCGTTGAATACTGGGGTTCCTCTAATGTTGGGGCATTGAGCCTTCCACTTTCCATTGCTTCTCGAAATACAGGCCATCCCCAGAGAATTTTGTGCTGAACTTCTTTGCTGAAATGTCTTCATCTTTTTCTTTAGTATTACTCTTGACGAAAGTAGCCATATAATAAGCTGTATTTCTCCCTCTCACTCAGGCTCCAAGTTGTAAGCAACTGTGTACTCAAATCACATTCAAAAGAGTTTGTCTACCCAGCACTCAAGCATTGTGGCCTCAATCATTTTCGAAGAAGGTACACTAGCCCCTCGCCGCCAGAAGTAGCTTCTGAATCATATGATTGATGAAATGGCTAAGTATCGCCCAAATTCGTTGTATGCTGAGATTCCCAGATCTCTAACCAGCTATGAAGATGGCTTCCAAAAAGTCGCCTATGCCAATCTTGCCAATGTCATCAACGGATTAACACATCGGATTCATCAGACACTAGGTCCGGGGGGAAACTTTCCGACATTGACGTACATCGGCATGAACGAAATGCGTTGTAACGCCTTGATTTTAGCTGCCGTGAAAACCGGCTACAAAATATTGCTGAGCTCTCCACGAAACAGTCTTGCTGCACGCTCAAATTTGTTTAAGATTCTTGATTGTAGGATCATGATAGCGGCTGACTCGGCGCTTCCTATGGTTCCTGATATTTTTGATGCCTGTGGTCTTCGTATGATTCACATTCTGAGTCTAGAAGTCTTGCTTGAGAAGACATATGACCACTTTCCTTATCACAAAACGTTTGCTCAGACAAGGGCATAACCATTGGCTGTCTTACACACATCTGAAACCACCGGCTTACCGAAATCAATTATCTGGATACATGATTTTGCAGCTAGTTGGCACGGGTGGCTTGCTATGGAGGCTCCTGAGGGGCATGCTAACCAGAGCAATCTTTGGACATCGTACGTATCCTAACCGTTTAAGATCCATCAAACAAAGCGCTTATCAATCCGAATTAGAACCAGACTCTTTAACACACTTCCCTCATTTCATGTAAGTTTTGTCGTTTAATTGGGAGCTGGATTGCTTAGATGTTGATGATTTGATTTTTTCTTAGAATGACTGTTCCTAGAACGCTGCAAAGATGCAACTATCATTTTTTATCATGTGAGTTCTCCTTTACTTTATTTGTAATAACGTTCTACAAAGGTGACGTCCCCGAGAAAATGCAGCTGATCAAAAGAAATCAAAATTTCCCGTCAGTATGTGGGTACTTTTCTGACAGTCACAGGGTGGTGGTCTTTTCGCCTCATTTTTAGGTGCACTTCACAACTAGAGCTTAGTAATATACCCTCTAGCTGGTGTTCCTTCATCCGCACAGCTTGTGGTGAATGGATTGCGGTACACCAAAGCCGACTATGTCCTTCTTGCACCGCCGTTCGTCGAAGAGGTCGGAAAGAATCCCGAGCTACTCAATTTCCTTGCTAAAAGCGTAGATTGTTTGATGTATGCAGGTGGTGATGTGCCGCAAGTGGTAGGAGACAAAATCTTAGAGCGCGTAAAACTCTTCAGGGTGAGAGTGGAGTGATTTCGAATATATATGACATGCGAGGCAATGGCCAACGAAAGACTGGAAATACTTTCATTTCCAACCCTCATGCAGGCATCGATTTTAGACAACAATCCAACAATCAATACGGGGCTGTGATTATTCGAGTTCCAGTACCCGAGAAGAGACAGCCAGTATTTTCTGTATTTCCTGAACTAGATGAATGGGGTACACACGATTTATATAGTCCCCATCCGTCAATTCCTGATATTTGGGCCTGCTCTCGCCAAAGCGATGATATCATAGTCCTCCTGACAGGAGAAAAGACCAATCCCACTAATATGGAACAGACCATCTCGTCCAGGCAGTATTAGTTGCGGGCACAGCTGGTTCTCAGACAGCGTTGCTTATTGAATTAGTGCCTTCGCAAAATTCCGAAAAAACTTTCCACGGTGGAAGAGCCCATGCCATTGAGAGAATCTGGCACAAAATTGAAGAGGCCAATCAAGAATACCTGCAGCACGCCAAAGTTGCGAAAACTCATATATTGTTTACGACCCCAGAAGAGCCAATGGAAAGAGCTAGCAAGGGGACCATCCAAAGAAAGCCAACTTTAGATCTTCATTCTGAGGAACTAGATAAATTGTACACAGATGCTGACAAAATGTCGACTTCGGCACCAGCAGGCATCTCTCTTCCACAGGACGGGGTCGACCTGACCGAGAGCAACTCGATTGCTCTGTTCATTCACAATATTATTGCACAGCTTATAGGCACCAACTGTTTCCAAGACGGTGATAATCTTTTTGCCCATGGTTTGATAGAGTCTTTGCAAACACTCAGTTTGACGCGAGTATTGAAACAGACTTTCGTAATTCCGAATTTCGATATCAGTACTGTGTACTCCAACCCCCATCAGTCAACTCGCTCACAAATGCAACCGTCCATCTATTCTCATCGCATAAAATAAACTAATCATCTAGCGAAGAATCGAGACAACATACAATAGGCCAGGTTCTTAATAAATACAAATTGCGTATTGATGAACTCAAAAACTCTACGTGTTCCACTCCTCGAAAGGTTCGACGCTCTAAACAGGGGGTTGTTGCCCTTACCGGTTCCATCGGTTTGTTTGGGTGTTATATTTTGCAAACGCTTCAGCAAACGCTTCTGCAATCAGAGTCTGTTTCGCACGTATTCTGTTTGAATAGAACTAATTTGCAGTTCCTTCAAGTTGGAAGGAGTAAGGGGGCATGGTCTTGAAACAGAATTCCCTACAGATCGTGTTACATTCCTAGCAGCTGACCTCTCGAAGAGGAACTTGGGTCTTGACCTCAAGATCTACAACAAGTTGCAAGCATCAGTGACTGACATAATTCATAACGCTTAGACTGTCAATTTCAATTTACCACTTTCAGCCTTTCGGCCCAATATCGAAGGTGTCATTAACCTTGCATCTTTCGCTATTTGTGCAGCTCAATCACCATCTTTAATGTTTCTTTCATCTGCGAGCTCTACTGTGCATTTTCAAAGACTGCTGGCCACTCCCGAATCCATCATTGACGATGTTTCGGCGTCGCTTGCCATGGGTTACGCCGAGAGTAAATATATCACAGAGTATTTGCTTGACTACATGGCAGAAAAATATCCAGCACTGTTAATACAGATAGCAAGGATCGGGCAAATGGCGGGGCCCGTCAGTACACGTGGTTCATGGAACAGGCAAGAGTGGCTCCCTCGCCTGGTTCTGACTTCAGTGCAATTAGGCATCATTCCTGAATCTCTTGATGCAACGAAAGAAATTGAAGTAGATTAGATACCACTCGATATACTTGCCAGAGTGCTTGTAGAATTTTGTTTGGGTAACTTTGACTCTAGCTCTACCTCTGGCTCTGGCTCGGTTGAAGATGCTGGTGCATAAGTCTTTTATCCTACAAATCAAGTGCTCACATCTTGGAAATCATTGCTCTCTGCAATCGTTAGAAGCGAGGACAAAGCTATCGAGCAGGTCCCATTCACTTTATGGATTGAGCAAGTCAAAAGAGAAGCGGAAAAACTGGATGATGCAACTAAGCTTGAAGACCAACTGGCTGAAATTCCAGCTGTGAAGATGATGTCATTCTATGAAGGTTTAGCCAAAGGAAAGGGAGCGCCGTGTCTAGACAATGATAGAGCAATGAGAATGAGTATGCAGCTGACGGAATTGGCAGGAACTAAGCCAGAATGGATGGAAGAATGGGTCAAAAGTTGGCTGGAAGCAGGTGTGGGTAAGTCGTGAATCATCTGGGAGAAGGTGGTAGCCCCAGAATGTGGAATACATGTATGTCAGGTTTGTTGGCTAGATTGCGAGCCTTTGGTGAACTTTCAAAGAATACAGTTGTGCAGAAAGAACACACTGTAACTATCCGAATAAACAATGCGATACAAAATGTATTACTGTATAGATTGACACCACCGTTAGGCACTTAGTATATAAATCTGCTCCCTATAGACTGCGATTGATTGATTCTTCTATCCCGTGGGGCTTGAAGTAACTGCTTTTGGGTACAAATAAATATATGCATTGATAATTGAGGGGGATGTCAACTTGAAGACAGGAGTGGCTTTGTATTCCAAAATCGCAACTATGGAGCAATAATCTCCAGTAAGAGAACAAGATTCAAATGAAAGAGGCTTACCTAAGAAATATACTAGTTTGAGAATCAAGGGCTTCTTTTCAATCGGTGACACTTACCAAGGTAAGTTCACAAAGAGGCATTTTTCAACTGTTCTACCTCAACTCCATGTGTTTCGACCCCGGTAGGTACTCGGGTATCTTGGATAACCAGTTAGGCTTGATTCCCCTCGGTGGAAATTGATTTCTCCCTTTCAGATATTGGGGACAAAGTCTACTTGTCTTTTCCAAAGGTCGTACCGAAGTTGAACATTTGGGATCAGATTGAAGCCAATAACACAGCGTACGAGTAGGTCGGAATCTATGAGAGTCGACTGTCAATCAAAGTCACGTGAAAACTGAAGTGGCTTAGTGGGTTTAATTAGTCTCGCGTATTAAATGCTTACCTAAGTAGCATTAAACAAGTTGGCCGCGCCATCTCCATCACCATCTCTACGCAGTATATTCCTCCATCTCCATCTCCATCGCCATCATCATCATCGCCGTCTCTTTATCTCTTCATACGATCGCGGTTTCTCTGTCTTTATCGCTATATTATTCCATCGCACAACATCGATTACGAATATACAAGCATTGTCTCAGATCAAAATCGCCATAATATCGTGTTGTGTAAAAGAGTTGTATTCCAGAGAATATACTGTTTAGAACAGCCCTGGCGATGGTTACGTCCTTCAGTACCTGCTGCTCAGAACAACCCTGGCGGTGGTTACTTCCTTCAGTATCTACTGTTTAGAGCAATTCCAACACAATCTAGGTTCATATAGTAGCCTTCATCGATCACCTCTGCGCCTTATTTTGTTCGAAGAGTCAAGGCTGCTCTATAGTCTAAATGAGTGGGAATCACATGTAGAGTGTAGGCTAGTATTCTTTTAATGTAATCAATCTTCACTATGTTTTATTGTTAAATTTAAATTACAGAGATTAAAAATATTAATCCTGATTAAAAGACTTTAATTAGAAAAGCTTCTTAATAAAAAAGTATTTGTAAAATAAATAAATTAATTAGGTACAACTTTCATATTAAACTTTTGTTTATATAATAATAAATAGAATCTTAAGTTTTTTATAATTATATATTTTAATATAGAAAATCATATTTATATTTATTTTAAGTTTTAAATATTTATTAAGCTTATTAGAAAAAAGTAATAAATGAATATATTATTAACTGTTTCTTTATATATCAACTTTACAAGTACTTTTATATCTTGTTTAATATTAAGTATTAATAATTTATTTCATAACATTTCTATTATTTATAAAGTTAGCTTAAGTAATTTACAATATATCTTTCTTATAAAAATTCGAATTAATTGTTAAAGGATTTATTATTATAAAGAAAAAGTTTACCTTAATTATTAAATTAAGTATTACAATTATAAAAAAGTTGATTCATAATCTTAAATATCTATCTAATATATTTAACTTTAATATATATATTAGACTAAATACTTATATGAAAATGAATCTATAAAAACTTTATATACATTTAGTTAATATTCGTATTATTATTAATATATAGAAAACCAATATAAAGGAGATATTTATTCAGTAAAAGGCTATATTAATGGAATAAAATAGATTCTCATTTAATGGTTAACAATATGTACTATTGTTATAATATATTCTAAAGTCTTCGGAAGTATAGGTTCCTTGCTTACTAGTAATTTTCGAGAAGGAACTATAATTAGTCAACGTCATCGAAGCGTCGATTGCCGAAACACCGACTCGCACTCCAGTCAGCCCGGACCTTCAGCCGGTGCTGCATGGCATTTCTCTCCTAGTGTTGAAGACCCTTTGAATGACGGAGTGAGCTCATATAATGTCAAAAAGGACTTGAGATGTGTGGAAGAGGATTCGAGGTATATCAAAATGGACTTTGATGTGGATTCAGATAAGTGTTACGCCGGTCCATCCTCGGTACCGCGTCACATGACTCTTAGCACGTGATGGACCCTGCATGACAGGCATAACGGAATGTAGGTCCATACAGACCAAAGGTCCAGGACCTCTCTAGGTCCTGAACGCTCCAGTACAGTACGAAGGTCTATATAAGGGAATGGGATTTCATTACAATGTAGAGCTTCGTGCTCAAGAACAATCATTAGTTTCATTACTATAGTTACGAGAATTGCAACCAGTTACCAACCTTATTGAATTCCTACTTGAAGTTTAGTCTAAACCACCTCGAGAGAACTCTAGACACTTCCACGTGACCCTAGAGGCAGCTCCCGTAACACTTTGAGCACCATTTCTGCTTCAAGTACCAATTCAATACCAACCGACGATATGGCACCCACCAGTGCATCCGCGAGCAGTCAGGCACAAGCACCCGACACCGACGATGTCGAGATGACCGACGCTCCCAAGGAAATTACCATCAACGAAACACTCAAGATTGCCTTACCAGACAAATACCAAGGAAGTCGACAGGAACTCGACACCTTCCTCTTACAACTTGAAATCTACTTCAGATTTAACGAAGACAAGTTCACCGAAAAGGAATCCAAGAGTGTATGGGCTGTATCATATCTCAGAGGAGAAGCAGGCAAATGGATTCAACCATATTTACGAGACTATTTCGAGCATGACGACCAGGATCGCATGCAACCCACTCGAACAATCTTCAACAGTTTTGAAGGATTTAAGACAGAGATTCGTAGAATCTTCGGGAACTCCAATGAGCTAGAGGTAGCGGAAGATAAGATCTTCAACCTCAAGCAGACAGGATCAGCATTGAAGTATGCTACGGAATTTCGAAGATATGCTGGAACAACCAAGTGGGACGAAACCGCCATTATGAGTCACTATCGTAAAGGACTCAAACCAGAAGTCAGACTGGAGTTAGAAAGATCTGCCGAGAGTGTAGACTTGAACGACCTAATCCAGGACTCCATCGAATCAGATGATCGTCTTTACCGATATCGACAAAGTCAAAGATCATACAAACCCCAGGGAAATCAAAAGCAAGAGCGTTACCGCAAGAATGAGGGAAGACCACGTTACAATCCACAGAGATATGGAGACCCTATGGAACTCGACGCTACGCACCACAAAGGTGGGAATGATGATCCGGAAAAGAAACGAAGACGAGAAAATAACTTATGCTTTGAATGTGGGAAAGCAGGGCATCGGGCAGCAGAATGTCGAAGCAAGAGAACAGGGGGCAAGAAGGGCAACTTTAAGAATAAGTTCGGCAAGGGCCAACTTAATGCCACCTTCACGCCACAATTGTGTGCTGTTAGCATGACAGGGCTAGCCACGCCACCACCAGCTTACGAAGAAGAAGAAGAGGT